AGAATTTTAAGATTTCAAGAAATCTGAATACACCAAAATTTGAGTTCTTTTATACCTAATTATTGTAAGCAATGTACGCCAAACTTATGGAAAATCTTATATTAAATTTTCAACTTTTAGCTACTTAACAAGTTGACTGCCACGGTGTTTTTATAGAGCTGTCCTCAAACGCTATGAGTACCAGAATTGGTACTCGCTGTGTTTGTCCCGTGTGCTGTTCTATTTTTAGACAGATGCTAACATGGGACATGGGTGTTTTTTCATATTTCTTATAATTTTCTTATCGTAATTGTTTATTTATATAATTTTAATAACATTTAAAACAAAAATAAACCGATTTGGAGTGAGTACCATATTATATGGTACCATATATGGTACTCAATGCCTATTGTATCATATTATTCAGTTATACGTTTATTTTCATTCGAGTCATCGTCGAGTTGTGACGTTATTGTCGTTATTGATTAGTTTATTACAATGAACGACGACGAAATTGTTCAAGCTCTTTGGTCATCAGATGAGTTATCTGAATTTGATGATAGTGATGCAGATCCTGACTTTGCTTTGGTAAATATTGCCTAATTTATAATATTTTTTGTATATCGTTTTAAGCGTACATACGTGAATCGTTTTATCATAAATAATGCACAACTTTTATCGTGTATGACCTAACTAATAATATTAAATAATAATATAAAATAATATAAAATATATACTACCTATTTCATTTTTTTCATTTATATAATATAGGATTCTGATACTGATGATGATATTATTCCTTCGAATAACTCACATGAAAATTACGCTTCTGACACTGATGATATAATTGCTTCAAATAGTTTAAATGAAAATTATGACGCTTCTACTTCAAGTTCGTCTGGTTGGGGTCCTATAAACAGTAATACTTCTAGTCCAGTGTTCAATTCTGAGTCTTTTGGAATCAACCCAGACATTCTCGAAACACTTAATGATGGTACACCATATGACTTCTATTCTTTATTTATTGATGATGAAATCTTAAATTTATTAGTTATTGAAACTAACAGATATGCTCGTGATTTACTTTCAACTCCTCGTGGTCCAAAATCTAGACTTAATAAATGGGTTGATGTTGACATAGTTGAAATTAAGAGATTTTTGGGAATAGTATGTGGATGGGGTTGAATCCACTACCAACTTTGGCAAGTTATTGGAGTAAAAATGAAATGTATCAAACACATATTCCTAAGTATATGACCAGAAACAGATTTGAGTTGCTTTTGAGAACTTTTCATTGTTCAAACAATCAAACATGTCCTAGAGGTGACAGATTGTATAAAGTTCGTGGTTTGGTTGATATGCTAGTGAGCAAATATAAAATATGCAACATACCAGGGGAAAATTTGTGTATTGACGAATCGGTGATTCCATTTGTTGGACGTTTGTCGTTCCGTCAATACATAAAAAATAAAAGGCATCGATACGGCATAAAAATATTTAAATTATRTATAAATGATGGGTATACTATTGGATTTAAAATATATGCTGGTCAAGAAGCTATCCCGGGAGTAGCAATTTCAACGAAAATTGTAATGGAGTTAGCTGCAGATTACTTAGATGAGGGTAGTATAATGAACTTTTAAGCCGATCAACAAATCTTGTAGGTACATTACGTTCTAACAGGAAGTTCAACCCGAAAGACGTAATAAACGCTAAATTAAAGAAAGGTGAAATAAAATCAAGCCAAAATGAAAATAATATTGTGATTATGAAGTGGAAGGACAAACGCRATGTACTTATGTTGTCAACAAAACACAAAGACAATTTAATAGAAACAACTGATAAACGTGCTCAAAAATTATTCAAACCAAAAATGGTAATGGATTATAATAAGGCAAAAGGTTTTGTCGATATTTCTGATTTGAGAAATTCTTACCATTCACCACTTCGTCGATCTTTAAAATGGTATCGAAAAATTGCATTCGAAATTCTACTAAATACAAGTTTATTAAATGCATTGACATTATTCAATACTGTGACTGGTAATAAAATGGGTGTGACAGAATTCAGAGAAAATATAGTTCAAGCTTTACTAATGAAAGCCGACATACCAATGGTACCCAAACCAACTGAAAGAGAAATTCATAAGATTGTTAATTCTAATCGTCGTGGTAGATGTTCAAATTGTTATTTCGAAATGGTTCAACAAGGTGGAAGGGAACACGCACAACAAATTACACGTAAAGTACTAACGAAGTGTCTAGGCTGTTCTAAACATCTCTGTTTGGATTGTTTTTTCAAATTGCATTCAACAAAAAAAATATAATTTAAAATTATATATTATATAATAATAATAATATTTATAATATATTTATGTTTGATTTATTGATATTTTAACTAAAAAATCTTAAAGAGTATAATATGAATACGAGTTGTATAACTTTAAAAAAAATATATTTGTTTGATTTATTAATATTTTAACTAAAC